CAAAAACTCCCGCAAAAGGCCTGCGGCCCCGATGGCATCAGCTACTCCATGCTTCGGAACCTGCCACTGGAAGGAGTTATCGAACTCTGCCACATGCTGCGAACTTGGGAACTGTCTGGTAGGTTGCCAGACCAGGTATGTACAACATTGGTGTTGTTGCTTCCCAAGAAAGTTGACATTGAGAGGCCTATCTCATTGACAAGTGTGCTATACCGCACTTGGTTCAAACTTCGTTGGGACAAGCTGAAGCACTGGCAACACACCATTGGCCAACGATTGCCGTGGGAACGAAGCCTGCCTGGTACGCAAGTTTTGCAGGTAGCCCTCATGCCCCTGTTGAAATGTGAAGTTGGCCGAGCCACTGGCAGACAGGTGGTGTCACTGTTGATAGACCTGCAGAATTTCTACGATGCAGTCCAGTTGGAGCAGCTCTTGCATCTGTGGGAACCTCTGGAATTCCCGCCTGCAGTGATGAACATGGTGTATGAAGTTTACAGTGGCCCACGGCTGCTGCAGGCTGAAGGAGTGACGTCCTCCCCGGTTCATTGCGAGAGGGGCATGTTAGCCGGCTGCCCGGCAGCACCGCTTGTTGCGAAGTTGATCTTGGCCCCGGTCCTGCAGAGCTTTCAGGCCAAATACCCGCGAGCCACTGTTGATGTCTGGGTAGATGACATATCCATGGACTTCACTGGGGACGACCCACATGTGGTGAGCAAAGAGGCCCTGGCTGGTTTCGATGAGATCAAAAAAGGCCTGGAGAGTGTTGGCTTGCAGCTTTCCCCCAGCAAGACGGGCTTCCTCACCTCGACAATTGAGGCCAAAAAATCCATCAATCTGCATCGGCTGGAGCATCAACCAAAGGCCCATGATCTCTTGAAAGATTTAGGCCTTGACTCGAGTGGAGGCCGTAGGCGCCGTATTGGCACCCAACAGAAACGGCTGCTGAAGGGCAGTGGAAGGCAATCAAAGCTGCTGCATCTGAAGCTCAGATCAAGGCCAGTGAGGATTCGTGTTTGGAAAACCTCCATTCATTCTGCAGTTGGATTTGGTGTTGAAGCACAGGGCCTTGCACCACAGAGAATGAGAACACTGCGTCAACAACTTGCACGCCATGGGGGGCTCCAAAAGAAGGGCAGTGTTGACATTGTCTTTGATCAACATGTGCACCTACAGGACCCACAGGATGTTGCTGTTGAACGCCAGCTCAAGGCCATGCGCCAGCTGGTCCGTGCTTGGCCGGAGAAGCAAAGAGGTGAGCTCATGTCGGCGTGGCGAGTTTCCTGGAGGAGGCTACAAGCTGCAGCGCACCCTTGGATGGTTGTGGCTGGGCCTATGGCGGCCTTGCAGGTCTATTTTCTGCAGATGGGCTGGGATGCCTCTGTCCTGGATGATTGGATTCGGCCTGCCAAAGGTCTTCGACCTCCAAATCAGATGAGTTTGGAAGCCCCGTGGCCTTATCTCCAGAGGTTGTTGCAACAGGAACAGCGGCAGCAGCGAGCCTGGCGGATACAAGAGCTTGAGCACTGTTTCCCTCTGATGCATCGGCCTGATTGGACGGTGTATCACAAGGTCAGCAAAGGGTTGAAAGGGGCAGAGCGGGCTGCTTTGGATGCCTGGACCCAAGGCTCTTTGCGCACTCATGATGCTGGAGTACGTGTGATGTGCCCCTTGTGTGGAGTCCCTGTCACAATGAAGCATCTGGTCTGGCAATGCCAATATCATGAGGATGAGTTGCCCAGGGACTGGCAGGAGCGAATTCAGGCCAATGAAGATGCCATGTTATGGGCTCGGGGTCTCATTGAGCAGCCGAATATCAAGCAGATGGAAGGGATTGACTCCTGCGAGGTCACTGGCTTGCTGGCCCATGGGTGGCCCATCCGTTTGACCCCAAATCAGAGAGTGGCTGTTGGGGTTCAGGCGACCTCCACTGATCCTCGTCTCCGGAAGTATGCGGTTGCTGTGACAGTTGGCAGCTGGATGGAAGGCTCATGGCAAACTGTGGGCACATGTACGGCCACAGCACCTGGGCAGGCTGTCGAATCCAGAGCATGGATCTTTGGGTGCTGGCTTGTGCTCCAGGCAGTCCTTGGCAAGCATCAGATGAACATTCCTCACCGAGCTGGTTGGGCGGCACTTCAGAAGCAAGGTGCTAGCAAAACAGCCCCTGACCTCTGGCACAATCTACCAGCTGATGAATGGCAAAGGCTCACCTTGTTGAATGTGCCTGCAAAGCTGCTCAAGGATGAAGGTCGCCACTCTAAAGGCTGGTTGCAGTTCATTGAAGCCAAGCTTGTGGCCAAAGGTAGAAGCCGACGTGCAGCCAACCCTGAGTGTGAGAAAGACCTGCATGAAGCTGACAAGATGCACCAAGCCATCTATGAGGTTGCTGCCAAACGAATCAGCAAAATTCTGCAGGATGCTGATCACTACATGCATGGCACCTTGGAGAAGGTTGAGCATGAGGTCAAAGTGCCGGCCTTGCCACCCAAAAAGGGCCGTGTGGAGTTGTTCAACCAGCTGGTCCTCCAAACTCACGTGGCTGGCCAACACAAGTGGCTGCATCATCGGGGTGGAGTGATTTGTGAAGGTTGTGGAAAAAAGATCAAAGCATGCAGCACACATGATGAAATTAGCACCAAACAATCCACGTTGTGCCCTGGTGCAGTGACAAAGACCTTGAAACAGGTCATGAGCGACCTTGTTGGCGCCACAGAGCATCTGCAAGATGGTCAGCCAGGCCACAAGTGGGAGATTCGGGCTTCCAGTTTTGGCTGCATTCGCTGTTGGTGCAAGCTTCCCCTCAAGTGCAGCAAAGGAGCCATTGATCATTTGACTGCCATGGAGTGCATCTATGGGCAGCTGTCAGAGTTTGAGATGCAGCTCCGCACGAGGGTACACACCTCTCACCAGGTGTGGAGGCGGGGCAAGTGGCTTGAATGCCGAGGTTGCAACAAGCTCTCTCGCGAGCAGGATGGCAGGGTCCAGGCTTGGCTTGCACAGCCGTGCCAGACGAAGAGGGGCCAGCAGGTCCTGTCCTTTGAAGCGAGAAGTTCCAGCAGCTAGCAGTAGGCTTGAATGCCTTTCGAAGCTGAGTAAAAGGAGAATGAGCCTTTCTCGGTGGCCATTTTTGGCTAGTTGCCATGGCCTTGTTCGTGCAGACACAAAAGAACCGAGAGAAAAAAAAAAAAGAGGAGAGGAGAGGAGAGAGAGAGAGAGAGACAGAGAGAGAGGGAGAGCCAGCAAGCAGTGGACCACGCGGTATGCAAGAGGATGCCTGTATGCATACTGTATGACTGTATATACATCATTATGAATCATTATATATCTATAATCATCCTCAAGTGGATGGAATTCAAAAAATCAATCATGCGACCTCAAAGTTCAGAAAAGTAGACAGAATATCTAAGAAACATACCACCCCTTTTTGATTTTTTAAGTTCGGACTTAAAACGATAGCAAAGAAAAGGGCAGTGTTGTTTTTGTTAGCTTGTGGATTGCTCCCAAATGCCCCAGCAGAGGCACATTGTTGGCTTTGTGCACAAGTGTCTGCAGAAGGGCGAGGGAGTCGCTTCGGAACGCAGAAAATAGTTCGCTTCGGAACGCGGGAACGGTATCGCTTCGGAACGCGTGTCAGAGCTAGTAGGTTGGAGGCCATCGCTACGACTAGTCTGCACTGTCTGGTTGCTAACTGCAACCCACCCCACCCCCCACCCC